TGTTTGATGCACAATAACCCAGCTCTGGATTCAGCGTCTTTCAGTAGCATTTCGAATGTATCACCTCCGATCGTGTTTACGTCAGCGCCCGAGTCGATCAAAAAGCTGACTTGGATCCCTGATATTTTGCCAATAATTACTCCATTTTCATTCAATTTCGACGATTCATTCACACCTGAAATGCATGTTTCTGATTCCTGAAAATTTATTTGTATATAAAGTACGAGATTTAGCTAAAGGATAAAATTTATACACACTAACCGTCAGCGTTGTTCCCTTCTCGATTGTGTTTTTATCATTATCAGATGAGCACACGTTAGATGCTGCTCTATCTTGGGAAGAGCATTCTAGCTGTTTGATCTCTCTTTTAGAATCTTTCGTTTTGGACTGGGATACATATTTCTGTTAATCAAAATGGTCATTCTTAGCAACATAATGATAATACGTAATGTACGAGTTCATTGTATATTTATTGATTTAAAAAAAGTAGCTTTAAGTAACAGTAATGAAAACGAGGCCAAAGTTTTTTTTTTAATAGCCCGTAGCTATATCAAAACAATCAAAATAACTTCTATATTGAAATGCAAAAATCAATCCAGTAGCTCGCAAAAGTAACGAATGATAAAGCCAGATCAGTTATGCCGAAGAAGGTGAACTTACACAATCATTGACAGCTTCATCCTCGTCGTGCTTAACAATAGCGACCTTCTTTGACGTAAACGCGACTTCTTTATCATCGGTGCTGATGCGTCGCTTGATCGGTCCCGATGACGGCATTCGACGACAAGCTCGTGCCACATGTCCCATACGTTGGCAATTATGACAAGTCTGCTGAATGGACCAACATTCCGTTGCGTTGTGCCGGTTACTCAAACACCTCCAGCATCTGTTTTGCTGGGAGGTTGCCTCTCTGACGTATCCACGACGAACAAATCCTCTTCCTCTAGTACCTCTCCAGTTACCACCAAATCGTGGTTGGTCATTACGTGGGTATCTCTGGCTGCCAAACCGATTATTGTTGAAAGTCTCGTTCCCTGGTTTACCAGCAGTCACAGCTGCCACCTGTACCTGCTGTAGAGCTTGCTGATGATTTTTCGCATACATCTCTTCGTTTATTTGATCCATCTCCAAAGCTCGAACTTTATCCAGTAACTCTCCGAGCTGTCCACCTTTGCGCAGAAATTTCCTGGCCACTTCACGAACCTTGCGATTTGAAGCATGGGCTTGAATTGAGTCCGATATCTGCTCTACCAAGATAGTTTCGTCGAAGTCGCATAGCTTTGCTACCGCAATCACCCGTTTCACATATTTGGAATCTGTCTCGTCTACTTTCTGTGCCAGTGATCGGAGCTTTTGTCGTTGCATAAACAAATAATCTCGAGAACCAAAAAATGAGCCAAGTCGATGGATTGCGTTTGAATAAGGGGCTGTATGAATATCTGGTGAATTGGAATCTGACACTGTTCCTTCAAGAATGTCCAATAGTTTCAATCCTGCCTTTATTTTGAAAATGTTCATCCTCGTAACTTCATCCGATACTCCTGCCAGCTGCATGGATGCCTCCAGGAGATCCTTCCATTGCTCATACGTTTTGCGATCGATGTCTTCTTCAGCGTCGCTTGGCTTACATTCTGGTACTTGTAGTGATGCAAAAGACAGATTACTCATAGACGTCATCAAAACAGTATTTTGCTCATTGGTCGAATTGTCCTCGTGCATAGTAGAGTGTAATCGTACAAAACTACCTTCTGCGAACGAATGCTCCAGCTGTTTCTTGTCAGATCGCACTTTCTTCAATTTCGATCGCAAGGTAGAGTTTAGCTTCTTTTCCTCCTCAAGTTGTTTTGCCAACATTGTTGCATCCTTGATCGAAGCTCTGGTTATCTTCCTGTTGAAATAATCCATAATGTTTACATTAACATTGTTTAAATTATCATTTTCTATTTCGAGAAATATAGTCATTATTGGCTATCTGTTGTTGTTTATTAATTATTCCAAACAAACTTATATTACTATTAATGTCATGTTAATTTACAGATTCAATAAAATCTTACGATTTTCGCTAAGTACCTGAACAGATCGAATGGATAAACTCAGTTGGATTTATTATAATTTGTTCAAGCAGTGACCTTGAAGCTTTGGATAAGACTCAACCGGTTCAAACGGACACTACGGAACGCAACAACCCGTTCGAGGGTTGGATTTCATCCTTGTACCCAACCGGGTCAAACGTCCACTATGGAATGCACCAACGGACACTACGGAACGCAACAACCCGTTCGAGGGTTGGATTTCATCCTTGTACCCAACCGGGTCAAACGTCCACTATGGAATGCACCAACCCGCTCAAGGGTTGGATTTTATCCTTGTACCCAACCGGGTCAAACGTCCACTATGGAACGCACCAACCCGTTCGAGGGTTGGATTTTTATCCTTGGACCCAACCGGGTCGAACGTTCACTACGGAACGCACCAACCCGCTCGAGGGTTGGATTTCATCCTTGGACCCAACCGGGTCAAACGTCCACTACGGAACGCACCAACCCGTTCGAGGGTTGGATTTTTTATCCTTGGACCCAACCGGGTCAAACGTCCACTATGGAACGCACCAACCCGTTCGAGGGTTGGATTTTTTTTTATCCTTGGACCCAACCGGGACGAACGTCCACTACGGAACGCACCAACCCGCTCAAGGGTTGAATTTAATCATTGGATCATATTGCCAATAAATAATCACTTTAGGAAGAAGAAGAAAACTAATCGAAGCAACTTCATTTTTTTTTTATAAACTTTTGCTTTGAGTATTTCCACAAATTTCATCATCATAAAAGTAATTCAATTATCATCTCATATCTTATATGAATTTAAATAAATAGAACCGCTAGTAGCGATTCAAGATATGAATTATTTCAATTAGAATGTCCACGCCATTTTGTATTTAGTAAGAGATTCGTAGCTAGAACACCGTTCTCTTTTCAGAAAAATTTCTGCGTTGCGAAAAATTATACGTATACTTTATTCACTATCTGGCCGAGAATAATTAATCAACTATTACTACTTACTTTCTGATGGGAGCGTTATTGGTGTCCACGACTGCGCCATTGTCGGATTTCCCAGATTTCTCCATCTTTTCAATCTGTAAATTGATGCACACAACTAAACTGAACTGTTCTTGTTCACGTCTGTCTCAAAACTGATCAAGTTATCCTCTCTCAGCTCTCAATTTCCATGGAAGCTTTCCCGTTTGCGATGCTTTAGCTACGTGTTTTCTCAGAGACATACTACAATTACAGCTCTCAATTTCTATGGAAGCTTTCCTGTTTGCGATGCTTTAGCTACATGTTTCTCTCAGAGACGTACTAGAATTACTCTAGCGCTTTTGAGAGATTAGTGCTTTCGCTTTATTTCTCCTTTTCACTCTCACACTCTCGCGTTTCTGAGAGCTAAGTGCTTTTGTTTTATTTATTTTATTCACATTCTGTTTGAGGTAGCAGGCTACTAAGCTACACACGATTTATTATTATCACATGCATTATTATTATTTGAATACACTAGAACTATTATTACTTTTAATTTATTATCAACATATATTATCTACACACGTTTCTTCGGGACCTACTTGTCTTAGAGTTACCTCTATGGTATTATCAACAATCAATACGAAACTAACGATTTTAAATTGGCTCACCACTTTAGTAGCCTATTGGCTCCAAGCAAACGATTAACGTACCCTATTCTAGTTGAAATTCTATTACTACACTATGTTTGTTTTGATTCGCTATGAAAGTTTGACAGATAACATCAGGGGTGTGGATTCATGCAGAACATGCAGGGGTGAGTGAAATAGCTTGGGACTGCTTGGGACCGTTGTTCTGGTACTGAGTGAGCCAAAAATAATAATGATTTTCTTCGGGACCCAGTGGTCTTAGAGTTACCTCTATGGTATTATCATAGAGATAACTCTAAGACTAGAAGGTCCCGAAATAACGTGCTCAACTTTTTGGCTCAGCTCTGGTACTCTCTTCGGTCCCAAGCTAATCGATTCTCCCCTCGAAACATAGGAAAAACCAATAACCCCTCATTTTATCTGTCAAACTTTCATAGCGAATCAAAACAAACATTGCGTAGTACTAGAATTTCGACTAGAATGGGGTACTTTAATCGTTTGCTTGGGACCAATAGGCTAGTCAAGTAGTGAGACAATTTAAAATCGTTAGTTTCGTATTGATTGTTGATATTATCGTATTAGCATAGAGGTAACTCTAAGACCACTGGGTCCCGAAGAAAATCATTATTATTTTTGGCTCACTCAGTACCAGAACAACGGTCCCAAGCAGTCCCAAGCTATTTCACTCACCCCTGCATGTTCTGCATGAATCCACACACCCCTGATGTTATCTGTCAAACTTTCATAGCGAATCAAAACAAACATAGTGTAGTAATAGAATTTCAACTAGAATAGGGTACATTAATCGTTTGCTTGGGACCAATAGGCTACTAAAGTGGTGAGCCAATTTAAAATCGTTAGTTTCGTATTGATTGTTGGTATTAGGCTCTCATGAAACCAAAGTTGCCAGTACAAAGAACTATAGCTGGACTCACAATACTGCGTCATCGTCAGCGTTGACGAAGGGGTTCGTTCGTCAAATAACAGGTGTAACGCATGTCAAGTTGCTTTTCCACCACATCGACGCTGATCCAGTCTGTCAATTTTGATCAGATTAAAATTTGACGCTGATGCTGACGGTGACGCAGTATTGTGCGTCCCGTTTATGAATATAGTGACTATAGTTCGGGGGCTTTTTTTTATTATTAATCATGTTACGTACTATTTAACCGGACCTAACCGTGAATACCATTTCACGCGACTACACCTTTATTCGGCCTACCGTCCAATACCCATCAGGCCGAAGAAACATCAATAAAATGACATGACACATTTTTGGTGTTTTGCTTTGCTTTGTTTATACGGTTTATACATCAACTGCATCGTAATTTGCTGCACAGCATCGAAATCGAAATTAAATTCCTACATCGAAATTGACACTGAAATATAAGGCACGGAATATGTCGGAATCGGACTATTTTGGATTTGAACTAGTGTTCAAAACGGTGGAGGGTTCCATCCAGGCCAAATCCGACGTTCTGATCGCAGTCATCCATTGGTATCTGATTAAAAACTCGTTCCGGAATGTTGGCCTTGGCGACGATGTGAGAGGCTTGGTTTTCTTCTATCGTTACTTTATGCCGTATTATTCGAGTCTTATTTGCTTCTAGAAAACGCTATCAGAGTCGGATGAAAAAAGCGAACTCTTGCCAGAGGGATGGAATAACAACCCACACTCGTATGCTATGCGGTACGTGAACAACGGTCAGCTGTACATCTTGCACGGAATCGACAGCGAGGGAACGATGATTATCAATCTTCTGCAGGTCAAGACACTGAACGTTTCGAATACCACGTTCCAAATCGAAGATACGGTCAAAGCCTTGAAGGGATCGATGACAACTCTGGTACCGGAAGCCGCTACCGTGTTGGATCGAGTTCGAAAGGAACTGCTGGTGCCGGTATTCGAGAGTAACAAGAAGGACGGAGAGACTCAAACAAAGAAGGAACCGGAGAAGAATGATCGTGTTGATGTAAGGCCATCGAATCCGCTGCTGGTGGGCCCTCGCTTCGGACCGGTGGCAATCGGCTCGGATCCCCTGGGAGTGGGCAATGTCGGTCGAGGCGATTTGGACCCTTTTGGCCGTGGTGGGGGTATGATCTTCGAGCCACCTGGTGGCTTCAATCCCCTGGCAAACCTCAGGCGACCCGGGTGAGTGTGATGCAAATGTGAGCACCAATCAATTGGATTGATAATTAAGGTTCTGTTTTTTTTTTATATTATATAGTCCCAGTGGAATCGTTCCCGGAGCTCGGTTCGATCCGTTTGGACCCACGGTCGGCACCAATCCAAGGGTGTTCCGCAATCCGGATCCCGATCCAGATCACATGCCGCCACCCGGATACGATGACATGTTTATGTAAAGGGAGTTCTCATGCATTTTCGGAAAATAATCAGCTAGCGACTCAAGTTGAATTTATAACATTTCCATGGATTTAAATAAAAACGTATCGAAAAACTCCTTCGGCACACATATTTTATTACAGAAAGACTGGCTCTGAAGTCAGTTGAAAGAGCTGTTCCAAGTGCCCAACGGTGACCTGCCTCGAGCTCCACAAACCGCACTGGTCGTTTTGAATGGTCTGATGGATTGTTTCCTCGATCGTGTTCTGCACGATAAAGCGATGGACGAAGGTGGGCTTGGTTTGTCCGATTCGGTGTACGCGTCCAACGGCTTGCAGTTCCTCGCCCGGGTTGAGAATCGGTTCCACCAGAAAGACGTGCGTCGCCTCGATCAGGTTCAGTCCCTTGGAGCCGTATTTGAGCGGAAGCAACATGCAGGTGATGTCATTACGGTAGTCCTTGAACTCCTCGATGGCTTTGTAGAACTTACTTCCCTTCATGCGATAGGTGATGGAGTTTTCGTCCAGCGCTCGGGCCAGCATCGACAGGATCGGATCCCAGTGGGAGAAGATGATGATTTTTACTTGTGGTTCCTTTTGTTTGAGCCGCAGAATAGTTTCCACAATTTCTATGATCTTGCTGGAGTATTTTCCTCGCACGATGATCGCTTTGGAGGCGTCCAATTTGTTACAGGTTACGTAATAGATGCTGAAATTGGCAAGCAATTTAAATAAGCTAAATAGGACAAGCAATACTTCAATGTTTGCAACTTACTCGGCTACGCGCTGCCGATGGCGGCAAACAACACAGTCAATGTTACCATCGCGATTTATTTTTAAGATTTGCGGTGCACAGATGATACAGAAATGGTGTCCGCACTGTAGCACGGCGTACTTTTCTTTCGGTGGATACTGGCAAATCGGACAAACATCAATCTCCTTGACGCTGCCCAAATGATGCAGATATTTGAGGGTGCCTTGAAGCCGCACAAATTCCTTCTCAGAAGTTGTCTTCTGCAATTGCATATACTGCAAGGTTTCGTCCACCTCGATATCCAATATCTGCTGAATAGTTTTCTTTGTGATGTTGTGATCCAATTCTTCCAAAGTGACGACATGGAGTCGGGAACGACACATGTTCAGCTCGTCGTGCGCAGCAGCCATATAGTTGGTTTCAACCCAATACTTGGAGTATTGCTTGAATTCGGCTTTCAGGCTTTCCAAATAGGAAATGTAGAGGTCTCCTTCCACTAGGATCTCCGGATCCAGATTGTCTCTTTTGGAGAAGGCGTGAATCTGCCTAAGGATCAGCTCCTGTGTGCTCATCTGCCAGGAGCCTTTCGTCATTGTGCTACTGGGGCCAGATTCGACGACTTCCATGTCAAAGATCAAACACTCGTACTGAGTCAGAACCGATTTCACATCGCACAGGACACAAGTCGGTCGCATAAATCGTTCACTGGCTGGCAGATCGTCCAATTCTTTATCCAAATGGCACAGAAAAGCATCTCGAACCAGCTTTTCGATGCGGTCTTTTGCATTGACCGGCCACATGTGTTTCGGTCGGAGATTCATAGTGAAATAGTCGATTGATTTGAAGGCCTCCTGCAACTGGTAACGATGCCGCTTTACTTTGTCGAACCAAACAGTTAGTGCATAGTCCAATCCCCGCACAGATTCCATTTGCCGTGCCATGCGATTGTGATCATGAATTTCAACGTTCAGCTTAAGCATGAAGTTGGTGATTGCGGCGGGATCCCTGCCTACCTGGTAGATGATGCTCCGCCACCAACCGCCGTCGACTTTGTGATTCAATTGAGCGAAAATTTCTTTGATCTTCTCCGTTGTGCGGTTCAACTCCTGCTCAACGTTTTTGACCAGATTCGAATACGTCTCCATGTACTTCCACTCCAGTTCGGCACATCGTTTCTCATAGCCGGCCATTTCCTCCGGGGAAATTTCATTCACCTTCTCTTGCTCCGTCATCCGAAGCACCTCGAGAAGATTGTGCAGAGCGTGGATCTGCAGCAGGGAATCGACACAGATCGCTCCCTGGTAATCGTCAGCCCAGCGCAGCACGGATTGATACATCTTGATCGCCTGATCGTACTCTTTTCGGATCACATGAATCGCGGCCATTCCGTTGAGGTTGGAAACAATTGAACGAATCTGCGATTTGCAGTCTATTTCGTTTTTTGTAATTAGATGGTCGTGCAATTCGGTCGGTGTGAGCATCTTCGTCATCGTCGTTTGATCTAAGCGATGCAAGATCGACGGGATAGTGCAGTCCTGGCGGAGCTTGCGTACCGGCTCCATCAGCTGAAATAAAATGTTCAAGTGTAGTTTATTTGAAATTTCAAATATAATCAGTCTCAGCCTACCGAATTCAACGTTTGAATGTTCATCCGCGCCATGCTGGTATTCCGGTCGGTGAGCTTGGCAACCCTCTCACGGAAAGCCGTAGCACATTTTGCATGCTCCATCCGGTAAAAGAAGTTCTGTAAATCGGACATCGTTATGCAGTGGGTCATTTCCGTCTGTGGTGGAATTCCGAGCTGGTCGAGCACGGCCGCTTTGCACGTTCGCCACATGATTCGAGATATAATGTGTAGCAAGGGCCGCGGATTGCACTGCTGAAAAAGCCGGGTTAGCTCGCACCACACCCGGTAGTCGTTGTAGGGAGCATAGTCCAGGAAGTGCACCAGTCCGTACAGGTTATCCATGCTCTTCTCGATGGGCGTGCCGGTGACCGTCCAGCGGTGCACTGCCGGCAAAGTTTTCACCATCTTCGTTGTCTGATTATGAATTCCTTCCACCATTTGCGCCTCGTCCAGACAAACGCGCCACCATTGAACCAACGGTAGCGGCGATACGAGTCTTAGGAAACGTTTCTCGTGTCGAGATGTGCGCAAATTGTCAGCCGTAAAGTAAATCTCTGTTTTCAACACGTTGTAGTCCGTCAGAACCACATCGTACTGTGCCAGGTCAGCCGGACTGATCCAACCACTAACGGATACCCCTTCGTATATGAAGATTTTGAACGACTGATCATCAACGTGTTTGGCAATCTCTGATGCCCACTGCATTTTAATCGATACCGGCGAAACGATTATTGTCGTTCCGGATTCTACCAATGGCTCCAATCGCCAACATTCTGGACAAATGTACCGTCTTGTCGGCTGCACACAATTTTTCATTACACACATCCTGTGCTGTCTTAGACCGCATTTCTGGCAAGCTATCACATCTTTATTAGAATTCCTGGAACAGATGCACCTAACCTCCTTTTCCTCCTCCTCTTCATCCACACTGATTTCATCGTCACCGTTATCTGGCTCCTGCAGCTTCCGTTTCTTACTCTTGCGATTGAACAGCAGCAATCCTAATATCTCAACCGTCTTGCCCATGCCCATCTCGTCTGCCAAAACTCCACCAGGAGGAATAGCTATCTCCCGTGGCATTACATCCACCACTTCGAAGGTGTCAAAATACATATAGAAATCAACTTCCGGAATGTTACAGTTCTGCAACTTCAAATACTGTGCTGGCAAAACCTTTCGTACCATTTCTCGATCCAACATCCAACGGATAGCCTGAATTTGGTATGGCCTCAACGTCGGTCTCAAACATTTGTGGCTCACATCCTCCGGAATGGACTCATCCAAAATGTCACTCAGATGCATCTCCCTCAATCGTTCATAGAACTGACCAACGCTCAGAGCATTCGCTGCTCCATCACCCTCCTCCTCCTTATCCTCCTGAAGCTTTAACTCTTCCAACCGCACGAAATCGTGCCTTTCCACCTCCTCGAAGAATGTCTTCACCATCCGCATCCTCTGCCGGGCGTAACCGAAATCGCCGATCTCTTCCGGCTGCAGTCGTCGCAGAAATAGACCTAGATAGACCGTTTCACTGTCTGAAGCATCAGTTCGCTGTAGCAGAGCGTACTCCGGGATACATTTAACGTCTGTCCACAAAATAAAAAACGTAACCATAAGATACCCATTCCATACATTATAATACGTTACCTTTGAGCAGGATCTTAACGTTCAGAGATGCATCCAGCTGGAAGTAGCTTTGGCCTTCATATTTGAAAACGGTTCCGTCAGTGATGGATGGCTGTCCGTGGCCGCTTTGCAGGATTCCAACATCCGCCAAGCAGTATTGCATGGTGATGGCACAGTTCGCAGTGCGATTAATTTACAAGTTGGTATACCTACTCCAAGGATCAATGAAATGAACAAAATTTAAAATAGGTATATACCTTAAACCTGAATATAAATTCAGGCTCTTTAGTGTACCTAAATGCCGAAAGCACTTTGATACTTTTCTTCTAGGTTTTGTTTATAAACTTATAGAACTTGTTGTGTTTGTAGAAGGGTTTCAGTCATGCGAGTCGAGCAACGCGAGCGACGCACAGATGGGGATTGTAAGTAATGGTCGAAAAAAATCAATATCGAAATGAATTCAAGCGCAAATTTTCATTACGTCGAAAGTTACAAAGGTAGACAAAGTCGAGCTATCAGTGTCAATCGAAGCTTCTGCTATTGGCCACCCACATAAGATCCGTTTGCGTTGCGTTGACGTAAATTTGACAGTTAGACAATAGATTTAGCTGACACTTTGCCGCAACGCGTCAGATCTGGATCTAATGTGCGTGGGCCTTTACACTATATACTGACCGAATATGGGAGCACATCTCGGATCACATCCTAGATCACATCCCATTTTTAAATTTATTTACCAGTCAAATTGCTTTTTGACGTTATCACCTTCCGATCAAAATGTTTTTCGATGTTACTTAAGTCACCCGATTTCTATGGAGATGCCGTTTGTCTTAAGTAACAGCGCAGTGAAACGAGTGAAACCCGTGAAAAGTGTACGTTCGTCGTTTCGCTTTCTCATTTTTAAAGTGAATAAATCGAACTGTTTGTTACTAAGATGATTTCAGTGGTCTTAAAATGATCAATCTGCTGCACGTAAGGCACGGATTGGCTTAAGTAACATTAGGGAGCCACCAAACGACGTATGTATAAAAACCAGTATATTTTAGAATTAAAGCTAGCGATCTGCTTTGTATGATTCAAACCCTACTTAATATGTTAAACATTGCTATCACTATGAGATTATATGCGTTTAATTGGAAATGGGAATAACTTTTCGGTCATCAAAACAAAACTTTATTTTTCTCGGATCGATGTTAATGTTACTTTCGATAGCGCTCACCTCTTCCTCTTATACAGCAAAAAAAATGTAATATCGATCAACGTAATTCAAGCTAATGTATGAAATAATGATGTAATAGCAAAAAGCAGATACAATATTACATCAATAGATGTACAGTGGAAGTTCGCTAATTGGGGGTTTTCTGGTTGGGGCGCTTTTTAATTGGGGGTTCGCTAATTGGGGCGCGACCCAATTAAAAAGTAGTCATCCGTCAAAATCTGATTTCAAAATCATGCTGACGTTTTGATGTCATATTTTTTGGGGGGTCTTTCAATGATTGATAAAAAATAACGAAAAACAAAATATTTTTTGTAAAAAATCAATTTAATTCATAAAACAAGCTAATTAAAACAAAACAGTTACAGATTGCGTCTCTTCCACTCTGCTTCCAGCAATTCAGTTCGCAGGGTTTTCAGTTTCAAAGTCTGAGCGGGATTGTTATGTACGAATTGGATCACGTTATCAAGCGACTTCATCGCGGTTGGAAAATCGATGTCTTCGGGTTCTTCGTTTTCAGTAGCAAGGGCACTTCCGTTCAAAGCCTTCGGGGTGGTATCCAACCATTCTTCCTCCGTGAAAGTTAAATCAACAATCAATTCGAAACTAACGATTTTAAATTGGCTCACTACTTGACTAGCCTATTGGTCCCAAGCAAATCGATTAACGTACCCCATTCTAGTCAAAATTCTAGTACTACGCAACGTTTGTTTTGATTCGCTATGAAAGTTTGACAGATAAAATGAGGGGTTATTGGTTTTTCCTATGTTTCGAGGGGTGCATCGATTAGCTTGGGACCGAAGAAAGTACCAGAGCTGAGCCAAAAAGTTGAGCACGTTATTTCGGGACCTTCTAGTCTTAGAGTTACCTCTATGGTTAAATCGTCTGCTTTATTCAAAACTGCGCTGACTATTTCTTCGTCTCTGAACACTTCGCTGGTTATTGAAACTGTTGTACCATTGGAATCTACTACTCGATCCTCAAGCCAAAGCTGGATTTGCTCGTCGGTTGTGTTTGTTCCGGCTATGCCATCAATTGATGCTACAAGGGACTTGAAATTAGCAAAAAGATCCTCCGCCTGTTCAGACATGCTCCATTCACAACCTGGAAACTCATCGAACAACTTTTTCCAGGAATTTTCAATGGTAACCTGACTGATTTCGTCGCAAGCTTCAGCAATCCAATCAATACTCTGCCGTAAGGACACATTTTTCAGCCGTTGTTCCAAGGGCAAATCTTCGTTTTCCAAAACAAGCTTAAGCATCAGCTTCCGTTTGTACCTGGTTTTGATTGCGTTGATCACCGACTGATCCATCGGCTGGCATTCTGCTGTCACATTTGGTGGAAGGTACATCACTTGAATTAATCCATCATCACTCTTCAAATCATCGCATCCATCGTAGTGAGCAGTACAGTTATCCAGAACCAAAAGCGCTGACGGTTCCAAATCGTGCTCAGCAGAGAACTTCCGGACAGCGGCAATGAACTCGTCATAAAACCAAGTACGGAACAACTGACGTGTCATCCAAGCTTTTTTGGAATTGTAGTAGGATACCGGTAATGATTGCTGAAAGCCGCGAGGAAATCCACGGGGGTTCTCGGCTACCCCAATGAACATCAGTTTCATTTTGAGAGAACCATCCATGTTCGAGCACGGCATGAATGTGAATCGGGTTTTGTTGAGCTTTCGTCCCGGAGCGACTGTCTCGTCCTATAATGCGATAGTGCGTGATGCCATCAGCTTGGTGAAAAGTGCTGATTCATCTGCATTAAAAATTTGGGCTTTTGTCACATTCATTTCCAATACTTTCTTCATGAGCACTTCCTTGAATTTAAGGTACGCTTCTTTATCCGCGGAAGCTTTCTCTCCTGCCACCACCAAAACACGTAATCCGAAACGCTGTTTAAAACGGCGCACCCAGCCATCCGAAATCAAAAAAGTAAGATCCAGATAAACACCAAGATCTTGAAAGCATTGGAACAGTTGTTCTGCTTTGGCCTTGATCACATCCAATGTGACAATAATATTAGCCTCACGTTGTTGCAAAACCCATAGGTAAAGCGCTTCCTCCAGTAAGGGAAAATTCTGCTCCTTCATCGTTTTTCGATTTTCCACGCCATGTTCTCTGAATTTTTATAGTTTCATCCGAATTGACTCCTTATTTTTCAAAAATCGACCGACCGAGGATGCTCCGACACCAAACCTTTTGCCTAATATTTCGTGGGAACCGTTTCCTGCTTCAAATTCCTCGATTATTCTCACCTTCTGAGCCAAGGTAAGCGTAGTGTGCTTCCGTTTCACGACTTGCTTATTATCCACTCCGGAACTGGAAGCTGATACTCCTTCCATTGTGAAAGCTGAACAAATTTCAGGAGGATAATTGCTACAACATTACAAACAACGTATGAATGCACAAATAATTACCAGCGCCGGAAATAACTCAACAAAATATTCAATCGATTCACTCAATTTACACTCACGCAAGACAAAAACTAAGTAGCTGCTCACAGCATCAGTTAAGCAGACGAAAGACTGAAAACCAAAACAAACGAGTCAATCGCCCCGCGGTCAACTTTGACACTTGTCGACACCCCCCAATTAGCGAATGCCATTCGATAATTGGGGTGCAGTCGTGCCCCAATTAGCGAACGGCTATGTAATTTTGTTCGCAAAATCGATGTACATCGTACAACGTAATATCATAGAGGTAACTCTAAGACTAGTAGCACAAACGAAGTGACAGACGACTTACTGGCGAAGAAATCCATTAAAATAATGTGGTTCACTGTAATAGAATTTTCTTGGAAGCTTGTGCCGTCATCCACCAGATGGGTTAGTTTTTTTTTGTTTTGATTTGAACAAAGTTGATTTTGTGTTCAATGATTCTTTGACAGTGTGCAAAGAGTGTATCATTTTGTCATTTTTTTATGCATTTCAGTTTTGAGTAGAGTGAAAGAGATAGAACCAAAACATTCTAATACATTTGGTGAAAATGCTAGTACAATCCAGTAGTAGTGTTGCCATGTGGTACAATCCAGTAGTAGTGGTGTTGCCATGTGGTACACTGAAAAATTGAAATAGCAGGTTAGTCACCAAAGTTTTCGAGCAGCTCCGTCTGTCACTTCGTTTGTGCTAGTAGGTCCCGAAAAAACGAGCTCTACTTGTCGGCTCAGCTCTGGTACTATCTTCGGTCCCAAGCTAATCGATTCACCCCTCGAAACATAGGAAATTCCACTAACCCCTCATTTTATCTGTCAAACTTTCATAGCGAATTAAAACAAACATTGTGCAGTACTAGAATTTTGACGAGAATGGGATACGTTAATCGATTTGCCTGGGACCAATAGGCTAGTCAAGTAGTGAGCCAATTTCAAATCGATAGTTTCGTATTGATTGTTGGTAATATTCGAGGTAATATCAACAATCAATACGAAACTAACGATTTTAAATTGGCTCACCACTTTAGTAGCCTATTGGCTCCAAGCAAACGATTAACGTACCCTATTCTAGTTGAAATTCTATTACTACACTATGTTTGTTTTGATTCGCTATGAAAGTTTGACAGATAACATCAGGGGTGTGTGGATTCATGCAGAACATGCAGGGGTGAGTGAAATAGCTTGGGACTGCTTGGGACCGGTGTTCTGGTACTGAGTGAGCCAAAAATAATAATGATTTTCTTCGGGACCCAGTGGTCTTAGAGTTACCTCTATGGTAATATTACACAACCGACGGAATGATCTCTGTGCAGCTGTTTGGATGTACACTGATAAATTAAACTATTCCCACTTTGCCTGAAATTTAATCAATTTGACATTAAACTCAGTTTAATCATTTCGAAAGATTAAGAATTTATACTCTCTTTCTAAAAACTAAGCATTTGATATTAATCCCAGCTTAATCATGGTTGATTAGATTGAAGATAATCTTTTTTGAATAAATTTTAATAATTTTTGATTCTATTTTAATAATTTTTGATTGAATTTTAATCTGTTTTTGTTTATATATCAGTATTGAAAAAGAATAATATTTAATACTGGAAAGATTATTTCGAATTTAATCATGCATGACTACTGCCGAAGTAATCATGGCTCGGACTCAATAAGGTGAAGCGGGAATCTGCATACTTTTTAAGCTTTTTTGATTTAATTTATCTTTGAGTGTAATATTCAACAACTTTTTTTTTGTGTAGGTACACTTAAAAAAATGTTCACGTCACTATTATGTGCACGGCGAATGAGAACGACCCAAATTTGAGTTTAGTTCACTCATAATCGCCAAAAGTGCAGGAACTCAGCGATGAGTAAAACTTGTTTCATGGTTTCCTGTGAAAAACCTAAAAAATCTGCCGGAAAATGAGGAAATTGACGAAATTTTTATTCAGTCTCGACCAATAGACTGAGTGAATCCAATCTTTACTTTTCTCAAATTCGGGAATTTTTCCTTGGAAAATCCTGGAAAAACCTGGGAAAACATGAGGCAAATTTACTCATCGCTGAGTTCCTGCACTTCTGGCGATTATGAGAGAACTAAACTCAAATTTGGGTCGTTCTCATTCGCCGTGTGGTTCTCACTTAATTTTGTGACACATTTAGATGTTATGTGTCTCGCTTATTGATATTAACAGTCTCACTCACTACCTCTCTCACTACCGTAAAATGATCTATTCTTGAAATTGCAGAGTAAATCATAACTAATTTGAGTACTAAATGGAATGTATTTTGAAACGAAGTTTTTTTTTAAATGTTTATTTTATTATTATAAAATATATAGTAGATCAGGTTTGAATGATGTTAGGGGAAGAATGCGAGGAAGAATGTTAGAAATAAATAAATCTACACACTTAGAAAATAATACCGAACTCGGTTTAATTTTCTACCGAACCTCTTCGGTTACCAACGAGAAACCGAATAAATGGTTTAAAACATTTTTTCAGGCGTATTTATCGAATCAGACCCGAATTTCGGTAAAATAGTATAAATTTGACAGATAGAAATGAAGGCTGAACCGAAAAGTACGGTAAAGTATCGACATTTACGAATTCGGTACATGAAAACCGAGAAATTCGGTAAACTGAACCGAATATTCGCTAAAACGTGTTAAACGTCAAACGCTTAAACGTCAAACGTTCCACTTGCGCTTAACTTCGTGACGGAAATTTTAACCGAAAACTCGGTTCTCAGCTCTGAGTCTATTTTTTTTCTCGCGTGTGCTCGTTGGACGTGTGCAACAATTCAGTGAAAATGGAAAAAGTTTCTGCACGTTTGATTGAAATCTTTTGTAAGTATTTGATTCAAGTATATATTTGGAAGAGTTAATAAAAATAATAAATATTAGTCTCTGTCGCATTACATAACTGGTTTTATTGTTATGAAACTTCGAAGCAACGTATCCTTAATCAAAATTTAAAGTAGTATTTGAAGTGAAAACCGAGCGCTGCCCAAAAAAAACGAATTCCGTAATTACAACAGGTGGGTCGGTTTGTTTGACAGCGTTCGGTAGTTCTTTAGTAAACCAATGTTCGGTTATTTCTGCTTAAGTTTATTTCTCGTCAACCGAGATTTTCGGTAAATTTGACACATTGTGGGCAAAAAAAAAAGAACTAACGACAGCTCGGTTATTCCTCCTTGAACCGAACAGACTACCGAGCGTTCAGCAGCTAAAAACTCGGTTGAAATCAAACCAAGTTCGGTATTATTTTCTAAGTGTGTATGAACTTTCCATCCGATATATAATCGATTCTGATAGAATTGATCTTAAGTCATACAAAAAACGGCGAATAAATCCTGATGGATAAAGATGAGTGTAAACAAAATCAAACAACAATTCCTTTTAAGCATTTCCTGGAATATGCCACGAAAATCATAGCTCTCAGAATATCCTCCGAAACCGTATTCTGTGTACATCAATTGACTACTCCACGAACGCTGGAAACAAACTGAAAATAAATCAATGAAAATGCCTTTTCTAATAAAAAAAAACCATACCTTACAACACTCCTGGATCTATTGACCACTTTGTTAAGCAGTTTTGGCGTGACTTTCTACCAGCGATTTCACAAAACTGGACCAAATAATTTCTATATTTTTATGAAACGCACAAATGTTGGCAAATGTTTCTCGAGGTTCTAGAAGAAAAAACTCGAGAAAAAATCTCAAAATAATATTTTATTTCAAAGTTCGAGTGGTAGTAAACGTCATTTTAGGTGTTCGAATAAAGTGGTTAATTGTCTGCAAGCGTCCGGCCACGGGTTCAACATTTAACATTTACCAATAGTTATTGCCCCTTGTAGTCATTTGGATTCAGATCCAAACCAAGGGTTTTATCTTGCTCTCTTGAACCAAAAATATTGTTGTTTACTTTTGCTACGCAAGCATCCTATGGAAATGCAAAACACTTCTAATTTGTAAGTTTTTCACTGTAGCGCAGATTAATGAATATTTTAATTGAATGTAGGATACAATGCACTTGAATTTATAATGTGGGATCTTCCATCATTCCACAATTAGAAACACGAGAAATAAGTGTGTAAAACACATTGAATCAATGTGGGAAACACATACAATCAATGTGATTGATAAATTGAACCGGTTAAAACATATGAATCTGACGTGCACATTTTTTTGAGTGTATAGCGTAAGCGGCAATAATAAAGCCCTTAGTTAAAGAATGGACAACTGTCACCACAAAACTGAAAAAAGCAAGGGGGGTGTGGCTGTCAAATACAAACAATCCTCGCCTCGTATAACTGGTTCCAAACGTAAACAAACCATATGAAACCTAGAGGGTTTGTTTACGTTTGGAACCAAAAAAAAAGCTGTTCCATTGGATCAACTTTTGACAGACGTCCATACTTTTACTGTAGGGCTTTAGGCAATACGCGCGAGTCATTGACAACTCAACATCATTTTTGTTTGTAATCAAAGGTGCAACCGGCGGTTTAGCTACACCGCGCATAAACGAAAAAGATATTAGTCAAACATATTCCTGCTGGATTGACCCTTTGTCAGTACTGTAGCAAATAGAGAGTGTGCGGAAGGAAGTGTAGAGCAATAACAAATAGTAGAAAGTAATTAAACTGATGAATTAATATGTAACTATATTGCAACTATGTATGTCTGTACATTCCCATATCTATGATTAACCGCTACTTGAGTATGGACATGGAAACCTTCAGAAGTCAGAGTCAGAAATAAATCAGTCTTCTGCAGCGCGGAAAGAAGTGTTTTCTTGTTTCATCCAAAAGCTCTATTCGAAAACCCGTGGAAACTGCAGCCATTAGTGATATTGAGGATCGTGACGAACTCCGCCAAGTCACAACAAAAATAATATTATTATAGGTAAGTATAAATTGTATTTAAAGCATATAGCGGTAAACTATAATATCTTGTGTATCCGGTTAATTTTAGTCATTGTTCTGAGCTGCATTGTGTTTTGTAGACAACCCACATTTTCATCGTTCAATCAGTGTAATTGACGGTAAGTTCATCACATTTACATGAGCCATTTTGGGAAGTACCTTTTAACAAATACAATCCACAGATGTCCCAAAATCATAATTACCTGGAAGCAGCTCAGGCTGGTGACTTGTCTGCCGTAAAGTACTACCTCGGATTGCAACCAGAAGTCGACGTCAACTATCAGGATGTGAAACTGCAAAGTGCACTGCACAGGTCAGTGAAGGCGAACAGAAACTCCCATCAGATGGTGAGGGATTTGATTGAAGCTGGAATCGATTGTAGTCTGTTGGATGACCGGAATCAAACAGCAGCCGAGTTTGCCCGACGCGTTGGAAGAGGCGATTTGATGCTGCTGATGTTGGAATGCGAATTCCGGGACGTACCAGTGCGAGATGTTTTCTATCAGCTGATACGAAGGGAGAATATGGAGTTAGTTTGTGTGTACGTGGAACAGCAGAAGCTATCTATTAAAGAGGCAGTACGATTTACGGAGGAAGCCTACGAAGTGCTTCGGATGAAAGGAGTAAGGCTAACGGAGCAGGTTCAGTACGAAGTGGAACAGGAATTGGTCAATTATTATAGTAAAAATGCGACCTTTTGTGAAATTAAGGTGAACGAGAAAGAGTTGTTGGAGTACATTGACTTTGTGCTGGAGAACTCGGATGAAGAGAATCTAAACGAGACGGGCGATGAAGTACTGATGGCATTGCGAGAGCTTGTGAAGCTAATGTACCTTGGAAAGCACCAGTACGACGACGCGATGATGGAGGTTCAGTATTGCTTGTGTGCTTTTGTATCGGTCTATGATAGATTGGAAGATACGGCGTTATATACATTGGTTATAAACAAGCAGATGGTGCTGAGATTTTTGCGTCTGGTTGCAAAACAGCTACGATGTAGCGACAGAACTTTATCCAGCAGAGATAGAAAAGTTCGGAAGGAGTTAAGGAAAACATTTGTTCTTTTGAAGGAGGTAAACTCTGTTGGTAAAATAGTAACTTACTTGAAGAAAGGGTGTGAGATAGATTTGAAACAGCATGACGATAAAGAAGTAAACCAACTGGTTATAGATCGGTGCATTCAAGTCGTGGGAGAATCCATCAAGAGCACCAAGCTGTCACCGAATTTGTCTAAGCGAATGCAAACGGCATTCGAATACATAGTATCTAGTGGAACGGCTTTAAGTTACAGAAGTACCCGGGAATTTCACTCCCACGGTTATCCGGTGATTAAGTATTTACTAGAAAAAGAAAATGATTTCGCCTCGTACAGGAAACTGCAGGACAATTTAAAATCCATGTTGAGCCTTTTCGAGTGCATGCTTTCCACATTGCTGATCACCATCAGTAAACGCTTTCTAGGCTCACTGTACAAAATGAAAACAATCAAACAAATGCGCTCATTGGCAATGTTTGCCCATCTGGAATTTATTGAAAGCTTTCAGAGTCCAGTTGCATTTACAGAGATGTTCTACAGTGAAAAAGTCGTGATGATGCTTGTTAATGATTTGAAGATCTTACTGATAGATGATTTGGTGAATCACCAAGCGTTGATTTATTTAGAGGATCGATTGAAGCTTTATTTTCAAAATATGTCCAAGCAAGGTCACAACTATCAACAGCTGGGTCAAAGCTTTGCAACGTATCTACGTGTGGTAAGGAACAACCATAATGTTGATAGTATAAGATCAGTTCTCAAATTTCCACTGTTGCATCCATGTCCAAAATATTCTATAAGCTTTTGTTCTCAAGAGTCCCGTGAAATTAGCGGAACGGTACGCAGTTTGCTGAATAATCTGCTGCAGTCTTGCGCCGATAAGAAAGATCATCAGAAAATTATAAACACCGCATTGGAGCTTTTCAATCAGTTGGACAGTGAATCCTCGTCTGGACTGGATATGGTTCGGCTGAAGCAAGCAAATCGAGCCTTGGATCGTTATCTAAAGGAAACTCTTCATGAATGTGGTGCAGACGAAAAAGTGTTCACACAAATCTCTCAGAAGCAGCTCAAGGATCTGAGTCGCAATATATTCAATGTTAAAGAACGGTTCAAAATTCTTGCCCTTCCTGACAGTCCCAAACTTAGAGCCGTCCGGAAGAAGCAGGAAAATGAGTTGCAAAATGCATTCGAGCGAAAGATTGCGACCTTAAAAAAGTTGCTACTAAAAGGTTCACAACCGACGGGCTCTGGACCTTATAATTATAAGATAAAGGAAAACTGGACAGTTCAGTTTGCTATTGAGCATGTGCTTTTGGAAATTAGCGAGATTTTGCTTGGAGTAGGAATAATGAAACCAAATCTGCATCTACTGAACCATCGAGCTCCAGTGATTTGTGGGAAGAACTTGCGTGATGGCTTGGCACACGATATGTTGATGTATAGCGTTATCAGCGAGAGTTGCAGGCATCTCATTTGCAACGCTATTTATTACGCTAGCCTATCCATCAAGCTATATGAGAAAACAGATAGGACTAAACCGGAGGTTTTGAGCCGAAATAAATGCAGTAAAATCGTGGACAAGCTCCATTGGTTTGAAATGCAAAGTAAGTTATACGAACAGTTAAAAGATATGGAAAAATTCGAATTCAAGCGTGTTGAAATCGATGGACCTGATATTCTTGGGTGTACACGAGAAACCAAATCAGACCTGACGATGCATTGCAACAACGCCCTCATTCATGCAATAAAACACAATGTTCAAATATTTGTGGATCACATTGACGGCACTAAACCTTCTCAATCAGCTCAAAGACTGATAAATACAATCAACCATCCTCTGATTCCTCGTAAAAAGCCAAATCAATTGAGTGCTCCGGAAAAGGCACAGATACTTCTGAGCATCACGCTGGCAGCAGACAACTTTTCCTTGTATCGCAAAGTGACCCAAAAGTGTAATGCTTCATTGACTTACGAAGCGGCATTCAAACAAAATCCGGCAGTTTTGAATCACTTGGATGAACTAAATCTACCTCTGTCAAAGCAAATGTTGCTTGATGGCATTGAAACAGGAAATACTGCAGTTTTCAAAATGCTATTGAAGAAGCTGGATACACAAACTATCATCGCTTGTTCTCCGCTGCTACACGCTCTAATATACGGACAAGTTGAAATGGCTCAACTGCTAGTTGAAATAGTAAAGCCAAACGAAAAGGACGCTGAAATTGCTGTTATATACAACTTTAATAACATTCTGAAACATATTCTTCGTAAGGTGAAGGATGTCCGCAGTTTGGTCTTGTACGCAGTTGCACGTGACAACCTGGAAGCAATCAAACTGATGGAAATCAGTCCCAAAATCTATAGCAACATTACTGGGCTTCTCCATCATGCAGCTTACTTAAACCGAATTTCCATACTGGAACATTTCCTACGGAATGACGAGTGGCGAAATAGGATCGACGAACTGGATGAAAATAAACTCACAGCAATTGAAATATGTGCTCAGAACGGAAACTATTCAGCAGTCAAGTTGCTTTCGCAGTATACCACCAACGTAAAAAGTGCAATTAATCGTGCTTCTTTTTCAAATTACAATAGCATCGTGAAATACCTGCTCCGACACAATCCTCATTTGCTACCAGACTTGCGTATCATCTTGGTTAACCGAGCAATTGAGAACAAAAACAACAGTCTTCTAAAGTATCTTCTCGGTCGCCATGTAAGTGATAATCTGGACCTATCGCAGCAATTCCTGGGAGCCATCAACTTTAACAACTTTGAGGCTTTGGAGCTTCTTCTGAAACACGATCCACAATGCGCTCATGCTATTGATCTCAATGAAAAGTACAATGCATTCCATATTGCCGTGCAATCTCTGAGCCTAATGAAGAAAGTGGACGTCAAGTCCCGATTCTATAAAATTCTCAATCTACTTGTTGCTCATAAGGTAAATCCTGCAGCTAAGAACAAACACGGAATAACCCCTCTGCACCAGGCTTCCTCCTTTGGCAATCCTAAAATAGTATCTCGTTTGCGTAAGCTTGCCCCCAACACCATTAACGAAGCGGACGCTATCGGTCGCACTCCTCTCATCACTGCTCTAATCACCGAAAATCTACCAATCGTCGAATATCTTTTCAAAAACAAAGCCGAAACAAATGTCCTTTCGACGTTCAGATATTCCCTTCTACACAACGCTCCACCAGTTACCCACTTTCTGACCACAAACACCGAATGTCTCGAGTATGCCGTCAAAACCTTGCATGTCGATCCTGACCTAACGGATTCTTTCGGCCGAACACTGCTGCATGAACTCTGTCTGATGGACAGTGCAGCGATGGTAAAATTTCTGTTGGAACAGTGCAAAGCGAATATCGCCGCTCGGGATCTTTATGGTGAAACTGTGCTGCACCATGCTGTCCGGTACGATAGTCAGACGGTTCTGGAGTATCTTTTGAAACGACCGGATTGCGAGCTGGATCAGCCCAATGCACAGGAATACACACCGTTGGTGCTAGCGATTGTCATCCCCGATAGGATGCACATGGCGCAAAAATTGGTCATAGCCGGTGCATCGAAGGAGAAGTTGCTGCAGGTGGTTACGGGCAGCTGCCGGGAGGCGCTTGCACATATTCAGTAACCAATATCGAACAACAACTAATCCTACTTTTAGTGAGATCTTAGAGTTTAGAATGATTTTGACATATAACTTGATGCTCAATATGTATGTGATAATCAAAATACAAACCTCATTATGTATAAAACAACATTTTATCCTATTTTGCATTGATATTTTCATTAAAAGTATAATATACTGAACGGTAAGGGAACGTTTATTGTAGTTATTGGAAAATAATCTCTTCCTCCAGTGCAACATTAGCAGTATGACGTCATCAACGCTTGAATGACGCTTGAATACCTCCTCCTCTCTCCCATTTAGAGCCACCATTGATCATCGAGTGAGAGAAGAGAGAGCTTTTATGATGGCTGTTTTGCAAACATATACATATGATGGTGGCATTATAAACACGAAAATGAAAAACAACCTAAAATTAAGTTCAGTTCACCCACCCATCTCCAACTTACGTTCAATAAGCCAAATTTGAGGAAACAGCTTAAGGTAGTTTGCTTTCAACGCCGGCAAAAAATTACTTTTCAAAAAGTTTTTTCTACCCAAAATAACCCGAATTTAAGTTAAAAGGACTCGTATATTGGGTAGTTTTTATTTTCATGGACATATATAACATTTAACATCGGCTTTGTAGTATCTTGTTTCAAGTTATATTCTTATAATTGATGGGTACCTACTTCATGCAGAATTGTTTTTACCAGCTCTGTTTAGAAGATTGGTAAAATTCACAGTTTTCAGAATCCGAAAATTGCTTTAAAATGAGAACGTGATAATGGAATCAGCCCAATTTAAAATACTTCACTGCTCCAAATATTTATTATTCCTGAAAGACTGCACATGGAACAACATGAACAAGAGCGACGAAAAAGCTTACAACCTTAATCGTGACGTACCACTGGCGAGCTTTGGTAGCGTAGGAAAGAAGCTTTATGCTCTTTGTGGGCTGTCACTATTCGCATCGAGCAAGAGAGGTGAGGCAGCAAGCATAAAACCCCATCAGAGCATCGTCGCTCGCAGTCGCTCGCAGATAACTTTTGAATCTGGCACGGTCAAGACGCGAAACTCCTCGATAGAAATTCATTAGTGTAAATCTTGTTTTTTTTTTGTCAGATACGATTCCGCGAGGTTAGAAGGTAAATTTTTCTGCATTTTTAAAAAAATCTTGAGTGGACAATCTGACCGTCAACTGCGTAAACAGAAGACGTGGGCATTTTTATACTGGAAGGTGAAAACCATGGAAAATGTGTGAGTTGTCAGCTTGCGGGGTTTTTGCTGCTAGTGATAATCATTTTGTGAATGGTCTGGTGATTCCCTGATGGTGGATTGGAAGAATAGAAGAAGCATCAAGGTGCAAGTGCTGTGAAGCTCAGAAAGTGCTGTCATCAGAATCGAAGTAAAGAAGGCCATTATCCGCGTAAATTTTCATTGTGTTTTGTTTGTCGGAAATCGCTGTGAGAAAAATGCAGACCAAGCTGGGAAACTTCCATATGGTAGCCTCGACCCTGGTGGTTCTATCTGTTGCGCTGCTGGCAAAGCTCGCCAATGGATTAGCGGAGAGCAGTAGCACGGCGGTGGGACGGTTTCCCTTTTTGATGCCAAAAGTTATCCCGTACAAGGTAAGCATAAGGCGGCAGCGGTCAATTAGGTGGGCGGGGGGTGGGGGTGAGGGAGTGCTAGCCAAGGTTACTTTGCAGCAAGCTGCTTGAAGGTTGAACAGCGGCTGCACACGCACGGGAATTGCTAGCAGCTGGTTGGTTCCTATTCCCATCCATCAAGGAATGTTCCGCACGCGGGAAGTGTTGCCAAAATTGCTTGCTCATAGTTTACGGTGGTTCTCGGAAGTTTCCTAACAAACTTGAACTTGATTACTTTCAATTACTATTATTTTCTTTTAACTTAAACTCGTCGTTTGATGTTGACAAACAAGAAACAGAAAAAAGCGCTACGCTTTACGTTCACCTTTACTACGGTCACGTACTTAAGATATGTTGAACTGGAGCGTAGTCTTCATAGGGAACCGGTTTTTCCAGTAACATTGTTGTTTGTGCATATACCGATTAGACAACACAGCAGCAGAGCTGTTATTAGAAGCGTAGTCCATTACAGTTAAATTTCGCTCGTTGGGCTATCTTGAATTTAGTTTTAGTTGGGCTCCCGTTAGTTGGGCTGTAGCCCACCTAAGACTGTGAACCATTTGCCGAGTTAAATTTAACTCGTGGTTAAAAGTAACATTTCGAAAGTTATTCTCTATGTTCGAAAATCCCGGTGCTGTCGATCGACCGATTTTCGAGCCACGGTTGTCAAAATTTAACTTCTTGTTTGTCAGAAATAACCATGCTCGGGTAGCAGGGTTCGTCGATAACTTTCCATCTGTCAAAATTTAACCAAAAGTTATAATAATCCACCAAATGGTTCAGAGCCTAAATCGTAGTCAAACGTCATTTCTGGCAGTGCTGATTCCTTTTCGAGGGGTTCAATGGATGAACAATTTCAGGGTTGTTACAACAGGCGCGGATTTCGCGAATTTCGCGGATTTCGCGATTTTCGCGGTTTTGTCGCGGATTTGAATTTTCAGTCACGAAAATCGCGGAAACATTAAATGATGTCGCGAAAATCGCGATGGGACTGATATGCTGTCACAAAAATTGTGGAATTCATTGTAATCTTTCCGTCCCGGATTATTTTGCTGTCATCAATTTTGTTGTTCATTTGGCTCTCAATTTTTTACCGGTTCAAACCAAACACCCTGCAAATAATCGAGAAATGATCTCGATTCCAGAATTCCTTTTTTCCAATATGAACATAGCATTTTTCGTTGTCAAATCATAAACGAATCGTATATATGCGAGCCATTGCCATGTATACCGGATATTCTAGGTTCTCCAAATCGTCCTGGAGTTCAGTTGATTTGTTCTACTTTATCAACCAAGACTCCAATAATGTCTGTAGTATCGAAATATGTCCAAACCGATTCAAAGTGTCTATGTGGATTGTACCCGACCTATTGCTACGTATACAAGATGTTATAAGTTCTGAAATCATTCTGGAGATTAGATTATTTTTCTACTAGATCACCCGAGACTACTTCACTATCTGTAGTATCGGAATAGGCCCAAACAAATTTGCAGTGTCTATGTGGATCAACACTTCATTGTGTATCTTCGTTCACGCATTTAACGGTTGATTTGAATATTATCAGTTCCGCGAACTACTCGCCGCAGCGCTGGCATCGGATCACTTTGACGTTTCTATACATTTTATAGAACTTTTATGCAATATTGTTTGCGAGTTAGCGAGCAAGCTTGTTTTCCGCGAGAAGCCCGAGAGATGTCGTTACTGAGGTCCTATGTTTTGAGATACAATGTTTTCAAGAAAAACTTTTTCAAAGAGTTACGTCTGTTTGTCTGTGGTTCTAGGATTTCCAAATCGATAATTCGATACTACAGATATTATCCTAGTCTTTGTTGATCTAGTTAAACAAATCATCTGAACTGCAGGACGATTTGGAGAACCTAGATCATCTGGTATACGTGGAAATGATTAAACGTTATCCATATATCCATATAGACACTATGAATCTGTTTGGATATATTTCGATACTACAGACTTTATCCCAGTCATGGTTAATCTAGTAGAATAAATCATCTGAACTCCAGAACGATTTGGAGAACTTAAAACATCTGGTATACATGACAATAGTTCATGCATGATCCCCATATATACTGTGCATCTGTCTGGAAATATTTCGATAGTAAAGTCATTGTCCCAATCTCGGTTGATCTAGTAGATCAAATTATCTGAACTCCAGGCCGATTTGAAGAACCTTGAACATCTGGATTACTCGGAAATAGATCATGCATGATCCACATAGAAACTTTGAATCTGATTGGACATTTTTCGATACTACAGACATTATTGCAGTCTTGGTTGATCTAGTAGAACAAATCAACTGATGTCCTGGACGATTTGGAAAACCTATAATTTCCGGTATACATAGTAATAAGTCGTGCATGACCCATAAAGTCACATATATACGATTCGGTTATTATTTGACAACAAAAAGTGCTAGGTTCACATTAGAAATAAAATAAAAAAAAATGTCTCACGATTGGACAGAACCCAAGGAATATCCGTGTAAATACACAACCGTGACGTGACCAGCAAGTGTGACTTATGAAACTCTGGTAATTTCTCGATTATGTGCAGGGTATTTGGTTTGAATCGGTACAAAATTGAGAAAACTAGAGCCAAATTAACTACAACATTTAGCACAGCAAAATACTTCAGAGACGCAAAGGTTAACTTTTAAGAAAATTTGCATTTCAAATGAAAATGCATTTTTTTAAATTATGCTTCATCAAATCTAGGCCTGTATTATTCAATAGAATCTCATAATGTAAGGGTGTTTTATTATGTTCACTAATTACTCAGAATTTATACTATACATAAATAACTGAAGATGATATAATGTAATTTTTTTTAATTTCAAAGATTACAAACGATACTCCTTTAGCTCAGTCGGTAAAGGCGCAGCTACAAAGCAAGTCCATGCTGGAGGCGACTGAGTTCGATTCCCGTCCGGTGTATTAATTTTCCGGTTGGAAAATTTCTCTACTTTATTTGGCATAGGATGGTACAGGCATAGAAAGCTCTCAATTAAAATGTGAAAGTACTTCAAAGAACACTAAGTTGAGAGCTGGCAAAAATCTAATATGCTACTATATAAGCTTGAAATGCCATGCAGTGGTATACAAATGCTATTTTTAGACAATGAAAACAGTTCTTTTTTTGTCGCGGATTAGTATTTGAAGTCGCGGATTTCGCGGATCAAATTTAGAAAATCTTGCAACAGTCCTGCAATTTGGATAGTTGCTCAAGGATTGTGATGACAATAATCAATCGGTGTATCCCTCTACCAATTTTTGGCTTGAAAGCTCAGCCCAACTAACGAAAGCCTTTCACTAAGTGGGTTATGGGTTTAGCCCAACGAGCGAAAGTCGACTGTAGTCTGAAAAATATGAATTTTACTTTAGCGGATCTATATGTTCTACTAGTTTTAAAATGTATTAACCGTATTAACAGGCAACAGTTGGTCGAAACCCGACATCTTTTATCTCCGCAAGTTCTTCTGAAGATGATGTTTGTGATACCGTCGAAGACCGATGTCAATCATACAAGGTCTGGAACAACAGGCAGCTTGCTAGTGTTAGCAGCAAAAATATTGTAAACATTGCTGAGCAAGCGAATGCCGATGTCACGGCAGCACAACATTCTATACTGCGATTAGCAGACGTGTCGTCACAGAAAACAGCTGTTTCGTGTAAAAAAAATAAACATTGCGATGAAATACAACCACCACTAGACATTTTCACATTTCACTAATACCAATAAGCCGGTTGGGCTAGACCTTGTATAATTGACATCGAGCTAGAGCGGGTTCATTGATTCTCAATTTTATTGAAGCCCGTTAAAAACTCAAGGTTAGTTGCTCTACTAATGCGAGAGCCTATTGAGATTGCTGACGTTTATCGTACGCACACTACGTCACGTATACTTATACGCAAAATGTTTTCATCGGGAAAAAAAAACTTCATATCGGAAAATTTTCCCGATGAAAACAAATCACTGACACAATCATACTTCAGCAATCTCTATTGTCGTTTTCGTTTTTGCGGTGTAGCTACACCGGTGCTACACCGCCGAACACCGAAAAATTTCAGGGTGTAGCTATCGGTTGCACCTTTGTTTACAAACAAATGTTGATGAGCTGTCAATGACTCGCGCTTATTGCTGCTTACACTACACCGGTGTAGTGTAGTAAAAACGAAAACGACATATGCTTCTAGTGTGGTTCGAACGTCAATAAACTGAACACAGTACTTTTAGGCTGTGAACCATTTGCCGAGTTAAATTTAACTCGTGGTTAAAAGTGACATTTCGAAAGTTATTTTCTATGTTCGAAAATCCCTGAGCTGTCGATCAACCGGTTTTCGAGAAGAACTTAGCCAAGGTTGTCAAAATTTAACTTCTTGTCTGTCAGAAGTAACCACGCTCGGATAGCAGGGTTAATCGATAACTTTCTGTCAAATTTTAACCAAAAGTTAAAATAACCCACCAAATGGTTCAGAGCCTTAGCATCAATTGAGTTCCTCAATAGAGATTTTCATTGCCGGTTGAATTGTTGCGATATGTGAGAGCGTGTTAGTGGAAATCCGAGGAAAATACACGGCCAACTACAATAACTCAGCGACTGAATTCAATTGAGACTCAGAGCATTTCTTTCCCTACGAAACTTACTCAGGCTGTGAACCATTTGCCGAGTTAAATTTAACTCGTGATTAATACCCCGTTCACATTACAGTCTATATCACGTAATATATGCTGTCTTGCAATGGGCACTCGTACATCTAGTTTTCACTGGAAATCCTATGTATGAGTGCTCATTGCAAGAGAGCCTATATTACGTGATATAGGCTGTAATGTGAACGGGGTATAAAAGTGACATTTCTAATGTTATTTCTTATGTACGAAAATCCCTGTGTTACAGATCGATCGGTTTTCGAGCAGAAATCAGCCACGGTTGTCAAGATTTAACTTCTTGTCTGTCAGAAATACC